CCTCCCAGCTCTTTCCTCTATTTCCCTTGATCCTCCTCCTGTCCCACTATCATGCTTAGTCCCCACCAGGATTTCAGCACTTCCTCTTTGTTATATTCTCCTTGATCATGCCCTATCAGGTCTCCCACATCCACCTCCCCACCAATTTGGATCGCTTGTTGTTCCCTTGTCCAGGACACTTTTGTACTTGTTATTTCTTTCCTGCTCATGACAGGGTTGTCTTCTTTCATACGTCAGTGGAGATCTGGTTGCATAGTTGGTTAGGCATCAGGCCACTATGGCAAGTTATGCAGTTTGAACCCACCAGCCACTCCTTAGAAGAAGAAGAGCATTTCTGCTTCAATAGAGATTTAAAGCTGGGGAAATTTAAACGGGGACAGTTCTACTCTGTCATATAGAGTCATTGGCAGTCGGAAATGACTCGATGGCAGTGGGTTAATAGATCAGCACTTTCTCACCAAGGTCACGCACGTGGCTGGGAAGAGGCAAGTTTTTTGGGTCATAGCCTCTTTTGCTCTTTGCCCTCAATAGCTCAAGAAGAATAGGGACTCATGGGATTCATTTATGTTCAGTTCAACCCTTCAATTGGGGCTCAGGTTATAAAATTCTGAAATAGAGGCACTTGGGGTCCAGTCATTATTCAGGCCTGTACTTCAAAAATTACATTGAGACATTGTCTCAAAAACTCCCATTTAGTTGATTCCGTCGTATAGCATAGGACAGGGTAGAATTGCCTCTGTGAGTTTCCAAGACAGTGAATCTTATTGGAGTAGAAAACCTCATCTTTCTCCCAAGGACGGCTGATTCTAACTGTGGGCTCTGCAGGTAGCAGCAGCTAACCCACCTCATCCAATGCAGAGATGGCTTCTAACGTCCAATTTCATAAGAGAACAAAACATGCCAGTTCTGCGCCATCCAAGACAGATTTGTTTCTTTCTTTCTTTTAAAATCATTTTATTGGGGGCTCATAGAACTCTTATCACAATCTATCTATCCACCATTGTGTCAAGTACATTTGTACATTCGTTGCCCTCATCATTCTCAAAACATTTGCTCTCCACTTAAGCCCTTGGCATCAGCTCATTTTCCCCCCTCCCTCCCCACTGCCCCCTCTCTCATGAACCCTTGATAATTTATAAATTATTATTTTGTCATATCTTACATTGTCCGACATCTCCCTTCACCCACTTTTCTGTTGTCCGTCCCCCAGGGAGAAGGTTATATGTAGATCCCTGTCATCGGGTGCCCCTTTCCACTGACAGATTTGTTTCTTCTGTTGCTAGTTCATGACCCTTTCAGTATTCTTCCCCAGCGCCATAATTCAAAGGCATTGCTTATTTCTCTGTCTTCCTTGTTCAGCGTACAGCTTTCATTTGCATATCCGGGACCTGGGAATGCCATGGCCTTGGACAGGCACACCTTAATCTTCGAAATGACATTTTTGTTCTTCAACACTTTAAAGAGGTCTCAGCACAGATTTGCTGAATGTAATACATCATATGCTGAGCACTGATTGATGGATACAAGCAAGAGGAAATAATTGACAACGTTGATTATTTCTCCATTTCTCATGCTGTTTTTCATTGGCCCAGTTGTGAGGATTTGGTTTTTTTTTACATTGAGTTGCAGCAAACATACTGAAGGCTACAGCCTTTGATCTCTGTTAGCAAGTGCTTGAAGTTCTCCTTGCTTTCAGCAAGCAATCAACAAACCAAACTCCCTGCCATTGAGTCCAGGCTGACTCACAGCTACCCTCTGGGGCAGGTAGAACTGCCCCATGGGTTTCTGAGACTGTCACTCTTCACAGGAGTAGAAGGTTGGGTCAGAATTAACCTTCCTCCAACCTCGATGCTACATTCTTCTTCATATGGTCTAGCTGATTCCTTGCACATATTTTTTTCACCGCCATAAATGGTGACTAGACACACGGACCTTGCCAGAAGAATATACAGGAATTGATAAC